GTACGAGTGCTGCCAGCATTATTACAGAGGTTGGAGGCATGGAGAGTCAGCCTGTCAGTGCTCAGACCAAATGCCGCACACTGCATCACATGGCTGTCGTCCCAGAAGGAAGCCCACAAACAGTTTGCTGAAGACAAGCAGACTACGGACATGGATTACCTGTGGTCTGATGAGACCAAGATAAACTTACTTGGTTCAGATGGTGTCAAGGGTGTGTGGTGGAAACCAGTACAAAGAGAGTGTGTCTTGTCTACTGTCAAGCATGGTGGTGTGATGTCATTGTTTGGGGCTGCATGAGTGCTGCTGGCACTGAGGAGCTACAGTTAATTGAGGGAACCATGAATGTCAATATGTACGGTGACATACTGAAGCAGAGCATGATCCCCTCCCTTCAGAAACTGGGCCACGGGACAGTATTCCAACATGATGATAACCCCAAACACAGCTCCAAAAAGACCAGTGCCTTGCTAAATAAACTGAGGGTAAAGGTACTTGACTGGCCAAGCATGTCTCCAGACTTAAACCCTATTGAGCATCTGTGGGGCATGTTCAAATGGAAGGTGGAAGAGCGCAAGGTCTCTAACATCCACCAGCTCCATGATGTCATCATGGAGGAGTGGAAGAGGACTCCAGTGGCAGCCTCTGAAGATGTAGTGAACTCCAGTGGTTGCCACACAAAATATTGACACTTTGGCCACAGTTTGGACATTTTCACTTAGGGGTGTACTCACTTTTGTTGGCAGCAGTTTTGATATTTATGGCTGTATGTTGAGTTGTTTTGAGGTGACAGCAAATTTACACTGTTATACAAGCTGTACACTGACTACTTTACATTGTATTAAAGTGTCATATCTTCATTGTTATCCCATGAAAAGATAGAATAACATATTTACAAAAATGTGAGGGGTGTACTCCTTTTTGTGAGATACTGTATATGCCAGCTGCTGACTCCATATGTTCCTTCAGTGTTGCTCCTGGCAGTCTCAAAAACCTGGCTGAAAAACAAGGACAATTAAGCTTTTTCAGTTATCACCCCCAATTTAACCTCCATGCTGCCTTTAAAAAATAAAATAAATAATAACAATTGAAATATTGTTGTTTCATTGATTTGTTACTGATAGTTTTGTGAGCTAAATCTCAGTTCACTGTAGGTTTCTTAAACATTAGAAACGCCTGTCAGTGTTTCTGATGTTTGATTCAGTGTTTGTTATAATCAGGCTTCAGCAACAGCAGCAGCTGTAACATTCATTTAAATTTGAATGAATAAAAAAGCAAACAAAACAATGTGCCGTGTAAGTTTTTTTTCTTCATGTTTCTCATGTTTATGTGGAAGTTGCAGAGAACTGACAGCCTGCTGTGCAGTGAATCCACCTGCTGGACAAAAGTGAAACTGCAGTGAAAACATTAGAGGACTGTTCAAAGGGTCATTTTGTAGATCTTACAGCAACACTTTATGCCAGGAAGGACATTTAGGGTAAAAACTCTCCCCAGTCATGGATGTTGGTCTGTTAAAAAGAGGGTAGACAAAAGAAGCTCAGATCAGCTGATTATTTCATGCAGGCAGAGGTCAGTCATGCTCTGTGGTTGCAGAAAACTGAAGACCTGGTTTGAGATGTTGAGGCACAACTGTAACCCGTGGAGAGCTGTTTGTTCAGCCACTGGAGTGCATCGGTCACACAGCGACATCTCTGCACATGTTATTCGACTCTAACTGAACAAAGTGATCAAATATCAGAGTTAATGTAAAACAAATCGTCTCCATCAGTCTCACAGCTCTCTCCTCCTTGTTTCAGTCTTTACTGTTGGACAGCTGCTGATTCTGCTCTCTGACTTTGATGGCGTCTCTCTGCTTCACCGATCCTCTGAAGTTTGAATTATTTTCATGGAGTAAAAGTCACAGTTATAGATATCTAACCACTCAGATATGCCTCATTACAAACTACACGAGCATGACCCTGAAATCTGCATCACAGCTGACCTGAGTGATGTGCAGCAGGACACAAACAGGATTTACTGTCACATCTGTTAAAGTCACAGTAACTGTGTCAATCATCATTAATCCATCCTCCATCTTTCTGTCTGAAATATGTCACAAAACTCGACTTTTAGAGTTGTTGTTTCAGCCTTAAAGATAATCTCTGTGACTCTTTCCAGTCACAAACTTATTTTTATGATTCTTCTGATGGTACAAAAATACAGAAAGACACTCATTTTGTTTTCTTCCTGCTGCTCTGTGACTGTAAGACTAAGTCTGAACTCACAGAGTATTTTCAGCAGAGCAGCTTAAGTGAGAAGAAAACTGAAAGTATTATTAGAACGTAGTCGTACAACCGGCATTCACAGGAGGTTGTATGACTACATTCCATAACTGGTTAAACTGCACCTTAAAATCCATGTCTGTCCACTTATAACATTTATGGCGAAAACTGTTACTTCATCAGTGAGTGAACCTTTGCGTTGGATTTATATCATGGTGTCTAAAGCTGAAAGTATACAGTGCTTTCTCATTGAGGATTTTCTCATTAATAGTTATTGGCGACTGTCAAGCCTTTGAGTCGCCGAGCAGCTGAATAGGGGGATAATGTTGACGCGTTACTCAAAGTTCCAATTTAAAAACTCCTTTATTTGTTATCCAAATCCTTAAAATCCATAGAAAAAACAGTGATCAAAACATTCCAGGCTTGAGCGGTCAGCAAAAGTCAACTTCCACCATCACCCACTCGTTCAGGAAATTCCCTCGGGCCGTGAACAGGAGCTATAGCAATCACTACTACTATTATCAACACCACGTGACCCAAAGCTACGCCTATCCTCGACAATAGTGGTTCATATTTACTGTGTATGACTCTTAACTCATTCACTGCAATTGACGGCTATAGACGTCAATGGCAGTGAATGAGTTAATACTGTAGCTCCTGTGAAAAAGAGAGCCTTACGTACGTGGCTTATATAACTCTCTAACGTGCAGCTTAGAGCAGATAACCCGTAAGCTCGAGAGGAAATGTTGTTTCACCACTGAAAACAGGAAGTTTTTAAAGAAGACTAGAAAGAGAGAGCATATTTCTCCTATACTCGCTTCTCTTCATTGGCTCCATGTTAAATCCGGAATTTAAAATGCTCCTTTTTTTAAAAATTTTACCTCCTGTTTTTGTTTCTTTCGGCTCTTTATGATCGTCTGGGGTCGATTAGTCCTCCTTCCTTTGTTACCTTCACTTTTCCCTGACCAAAACAGAGAACATCACATCACAGCAGTCTGTAATTTGTTTCTGTGTTTGTTTCTAATGCACCAGTTAATAATAATCCTTCTTTATCTGATACTGGGCCTCGGATCACCTCCATTCTCTTTGATTGGGCAGGTTCTGGAAGCCTGCTGAGGAGCACCCAATGTTTATGAGCTGGATGTGCTGAAGCAGAGGAAACCTGTGAGGAGTCAACATCAGCCAAGCTGTGTGCTCAATGATTCATCTTAGACGTGCATTCTGGGTAAATTTTGAAGGCTCACATTGTTGAATTAATGGCTGCTCAGAACAGTACAGAGAATATTAAAGGTCTTCTTTAAGCTGCGCTTAAATTCTAGGACCATCTTCTTTCGGGGTCAGCTGGTTGTGGAAGGTCAGTGATTTTTCTGTGGAACGACTCACATATGACAGAAAATAAGGAGAAGCAGGAAATGTCCACTGAGCGTTAAACATGTTTATAAAACAATCCTGTGATTTGACTTCAGACTAACTTTCAGCCTCAGAGATGGAAGACGAGCGTGGCTCCATCTGCATGAGGTAAATGAGCTCTGCTGTCGTGATTTCAGCATCGTACTTGCAGCTTCTTGCTTCAGCTAAACACTGATTTATGCTTCAGCTTCGTCTCAGCAGTGCTGTGAAAAAGGCGGAGAGAAAACCTCATGGCTGCGTGCAGAGACACGAGGGATCGGGGGTAAAACGGTAGAGTTGGGCAGCAGATGGCTCATCTCCAAGCTTCCAGTATCCCGCCCGGCCTGCCAAATAGGAACAGGTGCTGGAGAAAGAAGGAAGTGAGCTGTGGGCCTGGTGGGCAGCGGGAGACCCCTGACCAGCTGGCGAGGAGAAAATGGAAAAAGCTGGCAGCAGAAAAAAGAGAAAACCTGTTTAATGCGGAAGGCGCCAGCATGCAGGCCCACAGAGGTTCTTTAAGCCTTTTAAATAAAACACACAGAGCTGACACTTCACACCGACCGAGAGCAGATTTTAAATCCTGCTTCTATTTACCAACATCTCATCGGCTCACTCTTTACGAATGAAAAAACAACTAATGATCCAGACTGACAGGATCTTCATAAAAATCATTTTTAAAAACATTTGGAGAAAGTCAGCTGCAGCAAGAAGACTGTTCAGAATAAGAATAAGAAGCAGTTTCAGTTTTCATGTGTCTGTATAATAACTGAGTGCAGGCTGGAAACAGTCAGTGCGACATTCAGCACCTGTATGTTTAAATAATAATGAGCTTGGGAGTCTCACAGTCCAGTTTAAGGTCAAAGTGCAGTGGACGTATGCCACTATGTAAAACAGGTCTGATGTTCCTGCTGTAGTCTGTTCTGTTTTAATGTGTCTCTACTAAACAACAAGATAAAACATGATTTATCTATAATTGTACGTTGAAATCAGGCTCATTTTCTCGCAGAGGTCAATACGATCAGATCGAACAGATTTTACAACCTGAGACGTCGCCCTCTGCTGGACATTAGAAAGAATGCAGGTTAAAGAAACTCATGTTTAGACTGCGTCCATCTTTTATATAAATTCACTGCATGTGAGGCATCGACTCAGCTAAAATTACTTTGGGCTGCGACTGTAATTAAAAACAAGAAACATATGACGTCATAGTCATGTGACAGAGAGCAGCAGGTGTTTGCAAGGGTAAAAGGAAATGTAAATATCACATCCAGTATTTTATTTTCAAGATCATTTCCCACGGCTGTGACGTTTCAGGCATTTTGTGCAAATTAAAGAAAAGAAAAAGAGCAGAACTGAACCTCTGAAACATTTATTATAAACACCATAAAAGTCTAAAACTACAGAAACATGAATGAATTCTGCTTCTCTCCGTTTCATGTCAGTAAAATGTGTGACTGCTGAGAGGTCTGCACACTTGGCTGCTGTAACACGAGCTGCTGCCTCCTGCTGTGCGCGGTGGGTCACTGCGAGTCGGGCCGGGCCCTCGCCACTCAGCGGGGTCTGGTTTTTGGGGATTCATTCAGTCAAGCGGCGAATCAAAGGCGTCGCCTCCTCCCAGAAAGCTGATGCGCTGCTGATCAGCAGAGATGCGGAACATCAGAGAGCTCGGGAGGGCTGAAATAAATAACCAACAAAAGTCCAGCAACAACGTGGATTTAACATCATTCACTCATTTGCTCATGTGTTCATTACACTCAATTATTGTCATGCAGTCACACCACCGTAAAGTCATTTGTTAAATTTATTGTATATAGTTAATATATATAGTTATATATAGTTAATATCACTACATATCCTATATTTCTTCACTAGCTCATTTATTCCACAGATGTAATCACACATGCTTTCATTTCCTTTATGTCCGTTAATTTCACAGGTTATTCATATTTATTTTTCATTTGTTGTTTTTTCTGCTGATAAAGAGTTCCTGATAAATCCATCCTTTTGCTGACTTCAGTATTTCAGTGATTCATTCACACTTTCATGTGTTCACTGAGTTGTTCTGAGTAATCGGTATATTTAGTGTCTCATGTGCCCTTATGTTTACTTCTTTATGAGGAGAATATCAGAACTGAAATGCGTGGAGCTAAAATTGAGTGTTTTCTGAATGGACTCTGGTGCAGCTGTCAGGTTGACGCTTTGACTCCGTTTCTTTAATAATCTCATCGCAGCAGACCTGCCCTCACATTCCCGCCTCTAATTAATTTCATTTGATTAAATCGTTAAGATCTCACAGTCATTTTGTTCAGTGCTCACAGTTTTTCATGCGTCTACGCTCTAATCGCCAGTTCAGCACACAGATCTACGTGTCAATTAGGCTTTTGCAAATGGAGCTCTAATTAGGTTGAATTAATTGCCCTGCAATGTGGACAGCAATTAGTACAGTGACAAATTAAAGGGAAGCAGCATGTTTCTTAATGATCCCGATGCTGTCTCCATTAAATAAAATAATTTAAGTTATCAGAGCTTCTACTGTTTCCTCTCAGAGTTTTTTTTCAACTGGACTTGTGTATGGAGCTCAACATCCAACCAAATTATCGCTTGGCTTCCAGACCTTGAAAAGAACAAAATCATTGGCCGCCCTGCATATCATCGTCTATACCCAGAGAATGCCATACCCTGTATTTACAGACTTCCTAAGATCCACAAAGAAGGGGTCCCACTCAGACCCACTGTTAGCAGCATAAACTCAGCCAATTTTTCAACATTTCTAAACACCTTGCTGGCATCCTAACAGCCCTGGTGGGGAAGACCCCACATCACATCAAAAAATGGAAAAAAATGGAAGAATGGAAACCTAAACATTGAAGTTTACCAGAAGCCCACAAAAGGACCAGTACATCCTCTTTGACTCCCAACAGAACTCTACAACACCGGGCAGAAAAATGTTCCCTCTAAGCCTGAAGGGAAAAAGAGGGAACACACACATGTAAAGGAAGCACTTAAAACATGTGGTTATCCTAATTGGGCTTTTGTCAAATCAGCAAAGATGCACAGAAAAAAAGTCAGACACCATCTAGGGAGGATCAGAAAGACAAATGCAACAACACTGTTATCTCCTATGTAGGCGGTGTTTCAGAAAAATTCAGGAGAGTCTTCTTCAAGCATGACATCCCAGTGTACTTCAGACCCAGCAACACACTCAGACAAAAACTGATTCGTCCCAAAGACAAAACTCCTAAACACAAACTTAGCAATGTCGTTAATGCTGTACAGTGCAGCGAGGAATGCCCAGACCTCTACATTGGAGAGACCAAACAGCCACTTCACAAGCGCATGGCACAACACAGAAGAGCCACCTCCACAGGACAAGACTCAGCAGTCCATCTGCATCTTAAGGATAAAGGACACTCTTTCGAGGATGCCTATGTTCACATTTTGGACAGAGAAGACAGATGGTTTGAAAGAGGAGTGAAAGAAGCCATCTATGTCCACTGTGAGCGACCATCTTTGAACAGAGGCGGTGGCTTACGACCCCTTCCCAGTCGTCTCAACGCCCACTCACATCCTGGGCCGTTTGACCTCAGTAAATCAAATGATAGGGTGGGGCTAGGTTTCACAGTGGGTTCACCCAAAGCCTTGGCTGATTGTGACCCACACCCCTTTTCACACCTTGGCTCATGTGATTAGGTAGAGGATCAATAGGAGGTTCACGACCTCCTTGGGGGACACTCCCATAGGGCTTAAATCTGGGACTCTCCACCATTTGACCTTAGAACTGAAGAAGCTTCTCGGATGAGAGGTGAAACGTCTTCAAGCAACTTAAAGAAGTCCAGACGCTTTTCTTTCCAAGCTCCTTAGACTATGATAACCTGGATGACTGAGAACCTTCACAAACATATCAAAAAGGAAAATAGATTTAATTTTCTCAGATCCGTATATGGATGTGGATATTTACTTTTGCTGGTTTTCAATGAGAGGAAAACTCAACATTTACATTTTTCAACAAGTTGCAGAACTTTCAGAGAGAAACAACAAAACCTTTTTGCTACAGCTGCGACTAACAGCATGAAATCATTTCTGCAACAAATAAAACTAGAGCAACTTCTGGCCGGACAGGGACAAATAATCGGCCCTGGCTTTTTCGGTCAATGCAGCTCATCATGATCAAAAATAAATCTCTCCCTTCCTAATTATGTCGATCCATCTGTCTTCTTACCACGTTAATTTCAGCGTGGTAGCTGGTTGTTACTGGTACTGTCCACTGTGCAGGAGATTCGATAGCTAACATGTCGGTTAATTTGCCAATTTTGCTGAATTTACTTTTAGTTTCTTTTTCTGTCTTACATTTTCAGCTCTGCCTTTAAGTCATTTCTTCTGCACTAAACTACTGCTCTCAGTGCATGTAGGGCCAGTGCAGCCCCTCAACTGACCCATCCGCCCAAAAGTGGGTTGGTTCACCGGGACCATGCTAGATTACCAGTCCGGCCCTGCTTCTGCAAACAAACACTGCAACCCGGACCAATAAACTAGGTCATCCTTAGTTTAAGCAGTTTTTGCCGCAGGACTTGCTGTATACAGTTATAGGTGTTGTTATAATATTATTGTTTTTAGTTGCAATTGTTGCTGCAGGTAAGTTGTTGTGTTGAGCTGCAGGTGTTTAATCACAGCAGTTGGATTGGCTGCTGTGTTGTTGCTGCTGAGTTTCACAAGTTTTTTTGTTTGTTTGTTTGTTTCAGGTCTTGCTGCAGTTGTGCTCAGTTGCAGAATTTGCTGTGTTTAATTGCACAACACTGCTGGACCGTGTCATCTAAACCGTCTGCTGCTTCGTCTTCGGTTCTTCGTCTCTGGTTGCTCCTCCCCGCTGTTGCCGCTGTGGATCAGAGCTCATAACCGACTGTGGGCTGATGTTGCACCTGGGGAAATATCTGTGTGATGAATGAATCTGCCCGTCGGCCTCTTCAGAACGGCTGATTAGAAACTGTCTTTCGGCCTTAATATTAAGTGGCTCAGCAAACACTGGAGGGACTTTAGAACAATCAGACTAAGATGATTGAATTATGCTGATTAATAATTCATTCCTATTAAACCCTCAAATTTAGAACAAGCTGCTGCCAAAGAGCTGCACAGTGTGGCTCGGAGGTTCCAGGGTAATGTGTTAGTTTGATTCTGCTCCGACCAAGCAACAAAAGTATAAAGCAGCAGCTACACAAAGCTTAATAAACCCTCCGAGACATCAGATTACTTACTGTTTGAAAAGTAGTTTGAAATGAACTCATCACTTAAACCTGCACTCCCTCTCATTACCAGCAGGGGGCTATTCCTCGGAAGTCTGATTGATAAGAAATCTATGAAGAAATGAACCTGCTGGTCCTCGAACTCTGGAAACTCTTCCCTGATGAGTTTATGGTGTTGAACATGAGTGAAAAACACCATAGTGATGCTTATGTCACCATCGACCTGTCAGTCAAAGAGGTCACACCCAAATACTGCAAATTTATTAAAATATTCTCCTCTATACAGTTGTTATATTTGTCTCTGACTCCTGAAATGAACCCCAGATAACTGTTAGTTATCTTCTTCTCCAGTATACAGTGGGGCAAAAAAGTATTTAGTCAGCCACCGATTGTGCAAGTTCCCCCGCTTAAAATGATGACAGAGGTCAGTAATTTGCACCAGAGGTACACTTCAACTGTGAGAGACAGAATGTGAAAAAAAAATCCATGAATCCACATGGTAGGATTTGTAAAGAATTTATTCGTAAATCAGGGTGGAAAATAAGTATTTGGTCACCTCAAACATGGAAAATCTCTGGCTCTCACAGACCTGTAACGTCTTCTGTAAGAAGATTTTCTGTCCCCCACTCGTTACCTGTATGAATGGCACCTGTTTGAACTCATCATCTGTATAAAAGACACCTGTCCACAGCCTCAAACAGTCAGACTCCAAACTCCGCCATGGCCAAGACCAAAGAGCTTTCGAAGGACACCAGGAAAAGTATTGTAGACCTGCACCAGACTGGGAAGAGTGAATCTACAATAGGCAAGCAGCTTGGTGTGAAAAAATCAACTGTGGGAGCAATCATCAGAAAATGGAAGACATACAAGACCACTGATAATCTCCCTCGATCTGGGGCTCCACGCAAGATCTCATCCCGTGGGGTCAAAATGATCATGAGAACGGTGAGCAAAGATCCCAGAACCACACGGGGGGACCTGGTGAATGACCTGCAGAGAGCTGGGACCAAAGTAACAAAGGTCACCATCAGTAACACACTACAACGGCAGGGAATCAAATCCCGCAGTGCCAGACGTGTTCCGCTGCTGAAGCCAGTGCATGTCCAGGCCCGTCTGAAGTTTGCCAGAGAGCACATGGATGATACAGCAGAGGATTGGGAGAATGTCATGTGGTCAGACGAAACCAAAGTAGAACTTTTTGGTATAAACTCAACTCGTCGTGTTTGGAGGAAGAAGAATACTGAGTTGCATCCCAAGAACACCATACCTACTGTGAAGCATGGGGGTGGAAACATCATGCTATGGGGCTGTTTTTCTGCCAAGGGGACAGGACGACTGATCCGTGTTAAGGACAGAATGAATGGGGCCATGTATCGTGAAAGTTTGAGCCAAAACCTCCTTCCATCAGTGAGAACTTTGAAGATGAAACGAGGCTGGGTCTTCCAACATGACAATGATCCAAAACACACCGCCCGGGCAACAAAGGAGTGGCTCTGTAAGAAGCATTTGAAAGTCCTGGAGTGGCCTAGCCAGTCTCCAGACCTCAACCCCATAGAAAATCTGTGGCGGGAGTTGAAAGTCCGTGTTGCTCGGCGACAGCCCCAAAACATCACTGCTCTCGAGAAGATCTGCATGGAGGAATGGGCCAAAATACCAGCTACTGTGTGTGCAAACCTGGTAAAGACCTATAGTAAACGTTTGACCTCTGTTATTGCCAACAAAGGTTATGTTACAAAGTATTGAGTTGTATTTTTGTTATTGACCAAATGCTTATTTTCCACCCTGGTTTACCAATACATTCTTTACAAATCCTACCATGTGGATTCATGGATTTTTTTTTCACATTCTGTCTCTCACAGTTGAAGTGTACCTCTGGTGCAAATTACTGACCTCTGTCATCATTTTAGGTGGGGGAACTTGCACAATCGGTGGCTGACTAAATACTTTTTTGCCCCACTGTAGCTGCACTCTCTTCTGGTTCCTCGCTTTAACTTTGTCCGATCTTTTGTCTGTAACCAAAGTTAACGCCGTTGTTATGAAGGGGAAAATTATCCACAGAGGCCAAAATACCCACCATTAATTTGCATCTTATTACAACATTTCTTGAACTTTGGTTCAAATCTACATTTAGACAAAAACATTTTAACATGTGGTGTATATTAAAAAAACCAATGATTAGTCTAACAGTACCATTAGAAACACTCTTTCTGGTGTTGTTCCTGATGTTAAACGTGAGCCTGTGGAGCCCCTCTGAGCCGCTAACAAGCTGCCTCTTCTTTGATGCTCATTTACATTTCTCTCTGAGAATGTTTTTTTTTTTTTTTTTTTAAAAGCTCCAAAACAATAAAAGCAGAAACAGGAGACATCAGTTTCTGAAAACACTGCACAGAAACACACTGACTCATCATCATGTCACCACATTATCCCTGCATGACAACTTCCAGTTCAACAAAACCCCGTCTTCTCGTTGCAGCTGAGTTATTCCTGTTTAAATGTGTTGAATGGTGTTTGAGCGTCTCGGCTGGTAATGAAACACCTCGTGGGGAGCTCGTGTTTGTTTATCTCTGCTGAAGTAAAAGGAAGGCTTTGAGTGAAAGAAGTGGGTCACAGCCTGAGCACAGCGGCGTGAAATTCAGAGACGTTTGGAGCGACTTCACCTCTGCACCGAGAGCCGAGCGGCAGGACGTACTCAGACTGCTTTCCTTTCACAATAAACCTCCTGTTAACTTACCACAGCATGCTGATGCAGAGAACACTCATGCTGCACTTCAGAGAGAGCTGCTGCTTTTCAGATGCAGTCAAGTCAATTTATTTATGAGCACGTATAAAACAGCAATCATGGCCACACTAACTGGGTAACCTATGTGGTGCCTGTGTTGGCGCAGTGCTGATGGTGCCATTTTAAATGAGGTGGTAAGTGGATGCTTCGCATCACTCAATATTATTTGCTTTGCTCCACATGGTCCCTATAAATGCTTTCTAAGCTTAATAGCAACTTACTATTACTGCCATTGTTCACTATTCACATGGATCTTTTAAACACCAAGCTGTGGAAGTGAGCTTGAGGTTTTGCAACAGGAACTTTCAAACCAGTGGTTGACATCGCCACAGCTTTGTTTTATGCGATGTTGGGTCTCAGAGGCCTGTCCGAGGTGTACAACCAAGTGTGATAACCTGTTAAATTGAAATTTTAGCCCACCTCTCAGTATTCTTATTAATATATAATTTTTCATATTCGTACACCTGCCACAATGAGCCAGTTTTTCAACAGTGCTCGTGGCATTTATCTCTGTCCTCTGAGAGAAGGCACTGTAGCGCCAATAAACACAGAAACAGATCTGATTTTGATGACAGTCACTGGGCTGATGTTGACCTCTCACTGCTCTGTTTTCAGCCACTAATCATCTTTGTTTTCATCTTTCTTTCTGTTCCATTGCTTATTCTCATGTTGCTTATGTTTTCTTCAGGTTTTACGGTCTTCCTGTTTTTTGGCCCTCGCCTCATTTGGTCATGGTTCGGCCATCAGAAACACGAAGTGGACCCAAGAGCAGATTCAGAACAGAGACTTGATTGTGTGAACTGAGTGCTTTATTTACAAAGTGACCCTGTGAAAGGCAACGTGAAAGCATGAACTAAAGCTCTGAGCAGGACTATGAATACTTAACATGAGCTATGAACTAGACTTTGAACCAGGCTTTGGGTAGTTAACATGAACTATGATATTCTAGACCGAGATTAACTAAATACAATATACATGGACAGGGAGGCTCCAGCCTAGGCCGACTGGATACAGGTGCTCGAGCATGTCAAACAAACTGTGGTTCAAGAGCTTGTGGTCTATGGCACTGAAACCAAGGGAGAGGAGAAACAGGGTGGTTCTGAGGATTGAATGAATACACATCCAGTAAAAAGTCTTAACGTCTTACTTTGTATGCAGGTGAAGTGATGCAGGATGGGGAGGACGTGAGGTAGAGGCCTGGGTGAGTCCAATCGAGAATTTTCCCAGGTTTTCAAAACAGAGGAGCAGGGAGGCAGGCAGGCAGGTGAGGCAGGAGAGCAGGCAAAGAAATGTTACTGGCTGTGAGTGAGCAGAGGAGACCAGCAACCAGGCGTGAGAGGTTATTGCAGGGTTGGGTGTGGATTTTTCGTGATCCGACTGAGACGACAAGAGGAAAAGGGTAAGTACAAGCACTATGGAAAAACACAAGGTTAGCAGACAATCTGGCAAAGGCTGGTCTTAAACACAACCGGTCTGATTAGCTCCAGGTGTGACTCCTGGGAGGGGCGATGAAGGCTCCACTCAGAGGAGGAGAGCAGGCACTGTGGAAAAATTACTGTGACTCACCCAGACCATGACACATTATGCATGACACATCCTTCAGAGGCCGCATTTGAAGGTGGATTGCGTCACAGCCAGGTGATGAAGGCTGTCCCAATTCGAAGGCTCCTCCAAATGCAGCCCACAATTGCGTTCATTTCCCCGAATTTGAAGGATGGATCGGGTGTATCCTTCCCATGGCCCAACCTATCCCAGAATTCATAGCACGGCGAGCCAATTCCAGTTTCCAACAATGGCAACAGCTACTTAGTTTTAATATTACTCTTATTACTCCTTCTGGGTCACAAAACAAACTTTTAACATATTTTCAGGCCAGAATGCAGGTGTGTAAACTTCAAATATCTGCTCAGTTTATCAAGAGATCACATATTTGCTAAAGTGCTCTGACGTTTTCAGAGATGTCTGTTACCCACCAGCTTCAGAGGTAGCCGGGGGGTCAAGGCTCACTAGAGCTGACGAGAACACCGGACCCCCTTTATATATTTAGAAACCCCCCACAGTTTTTAGCTGCTCAGGTTAAACATGATCTATAAGTCACTTGGATAACTTAAAAATGTTATTGTTTGGCTTTTTTCAGATTGGGCATTCAGTTCCTCTCTTCCTGTCACAAAAGCCTTCAGATCACATGACTTCCTCTTGCCTGTGTTGACATGTGATCAGTGGCTGTAGTGAAGTGACTTAAAGCTCCTGCAGGGCTGAACGCGGTGTTTTCCTGCTCTGATTTCTGCTGCACTTGGCTGACATTTACAACGACCTCTCTAAGCCCAAAGAGTCGGTCCTTACAAATGTCACTGTGTCTCCGAGTCAGCAGAGAAGGACACGTTCTTGGCTTCCACGGCGTCTGCATGGAGCCATGCCGTTTGCCAACCATCCGTTTGGAAGAGCAAGTAAAAATGTCAGAGCAGCATCTCTGCTCACATTAGGCCAAGTGTGAGTGCCAACTGTGCCACTTTAAAGCTGCAAACAGGGAAACGATGATAAGGTTAATGGCTGTGAGTCTGTCAGCTGATGGGCTTTTCCTTTCAGTATTCTGCAGCGAAGAGCAGAAGATATCAGGACAAACATGAAAAACTCCAGATATTTATCTCTCACCGAGCGCTGCTCATCAATGAAGATTCCTGATTTTAAATCTTAAACTAATTTTAACAGATGCTAAACTGATAAATTAAACAAATCAGAGTTCCACCTAACCACTCACAAGCATTTCAATGTGCAATGACTTTAATACATCTTCCAGCTGTGACTCCTAATTTTCTAATATGTTGTATTTTTATATTAGAAATGTTATGAGCTTCAATTTACCCTATACTTAAAACCACAATGATGCTGTGCATGTCTGCAACATGTAGGAAGGTTTTCTTAAGTTTGACCTTTTGTTGGTGATGTGAGCAACATGCCCGGGCTCGATAATCATGATATCAGGCATGATGGTCTTTTGGTTTTTTGGTTGTCGTAAACACATGAAGCTTCACTGGCGCCAACCCAAAAAACCTGGATCTGAATACCTGTGTCCTCAGACAGCTCATACCTGCCAGCACTCCAGCTGAACTCAGACACTGACAGACTCAGTTGAATGTTTTGATTTCACTGTCATTCTTTCATCCAGTTTCATATTCATTTGAGTTTTCTTCAGTTTTTTTATTTGGTTCCTGCCTAGTTTTCAATTCTTTTAGCAAAGAGTTCCCGTTTCTGTCTCAGTCTTGAGTTTCATATTTACATTTCTCTTTCAGTGTTTAGTGTGGTTATTTTGTTGTTTCCTGTTTTATTTTGAAAGTGTCTCCAGTATCTTGTTTTCAGATTTATGCCTCATTCGTGACTTTATTACGTTCATCTGTTTCTCGTCCCCTTCCTCAGTGTGTGTGTGTGTTTTGAGTGTATTTTTGTGTGATTTTCTATTCAAACTAACTGATTCTAGTTGTGACATTCAGAAGTTTATTTTATAAAACCCTTTTAGCCTGACTAATATGTGTTCCTTTATATTTCTATAAAACCCCCAAATGCCAGGGCAGCTCAACTATAAGCATTAACAAACATAAATGGGACAAATGTTAATATAACATAGCAGATGTGATAAACTTTACAGCTGTACTATCCTGTCATCTCAGTTTTAGTCTGATTTTGGTCCTCTCATGTTTTACTCTTAGTTTTATGAAGTAAAGAGGTCCCCTTTCACCACGTTCAGAACATGATCTCTCCTAACAAAGCTGACAGAAGCTATCAGTACCCATGAGTTTGCCTCTGAGCTGTCATTGTCGCATGACTGTGTTAGAGAGCAGAGAGCAGATTTTGTGGACTAAAAAATCCTCCTGCTTCTGGTTTTTGCTGCAATAATGCTCTTAGGCTAAGTCTGATTATTATCACACACTGATGTTCAAATCTAGACCAAATAAAAGTTTTGATATTGTGTTTCTGGCTTGTTGCAGGTTGTTTGATTCCAAGTGTTCCCCATTAAACACTTCCTGTCAGCCATGAGCCTGGCTGGGTTCAGGACCGGCCAGGCTTCACTGGGTTTGCAGTGCTGACAGATGGCCGGTCCCAGCCTGGCCTGAGGTGGACTGTAAGATAAACACAACATGCAGCTGAGTTCAGATCTGTTTGAGCTTCTGCATGTTTAAAGACTGAAAGGCTATCAGAGAAGCTATCCACCTATGACTATGAGTTTTAACATAAAGTTTTAAGTAATGTTTTTATTTTTAGTCACAATCTTCATTTTACTGGTTTAAAAGACTAAAAATAATTATTTTTATAAAGATTCACTGTCTGCAAATATTGTGCCAGTTAGTTTGCTGTAAACTAAAACTGAAGCACCAACATATAGTACCTTTTATGTCCAGCAGAGGCTCTAGATCACAGGTGTCGAAGTCCAGGCCTCCAGGGCCGGTGTCCTGCAGGTAGATGTGTCCTTGATCCAACACAGGTGATTAAAATGTCTAAATTACCTCCTCAACATGTCTTGAAGTTCTCCAGAGGCCTGGTAATGAACTAATCATTTGATTCAGGTTTGTTGACCCAGGCTGTTATCTAAAACCTGCAGGACACCAGCCCTCGAGGCCTGGAGTTCGACACCTGTGCTCTAGATGGTGATGGAGGCACATCTGTAGCTGCTAGCTGTCTGCTAGGCTTCACCTCAGCTAATCGGAGTCCCTGAACCCGAGTTGGTTCCCAGTCCTCATTAAAAAAAAATTGTGTGGCTTTTTGAGACTTTTCTGGGGAATATGAAAGTTTACAAACTGAATTTGTAAACTCTTAAGTCACTGCTAATCCTCATTTATTGTCCAGCAGGGAGGGACTCCTCTGAAGTCAGACTTAACAGAAGTCTGAGTTTATGGTCTCAGGTGCCGGTTTCAGGTCTGCCTGAATAAAACAAGTTACTTTTTTAAATTTAGGTCCCATCACAGTTGGAGAGGAGCAGGAAACTGACGCCACACTCGTCACGCCCAGTTTCAAAACTCCAAGGTGGCGCTCAGCTCCAGGCTTCATGATTGGTGACGTCACACGGCTATGTCCATCTTTTATATACAGTGTATGGTTCAAATCTCTTGTTATGTTTTGCGTTTTTATATATCTCTGTGCTCATGTGCTGGTGTTTCTCAGAGGTTGTTCTTAGTGGTTTGTTTCAGTCTTGGTCTGACTGTAGTTTTTTTGTTTGTTTTTAATGCCACTTTGCATAAACAATTGAAAAACAAGTGCAATTACAGCTTTGCAGTTCTGGATTTCTTTGTGGTATTTTTCTTTGCAATGATTGAATTTTTTTCTGTCTGTTTCCTCCCATTTGGGTCTGTTATTTGTACTTTGTGGTAAATGTATTTGTAGTTTTCATTTCTTTTGCAGCCATGCCTCTCTTAGTTGTCTTTGTGGATCCATCTTACCTCTTTTGTGACAATGTATTTCTTCTGTTGTCTCTTTGTGTCGCGTCTGTTTGTTGGTGTAATAACTTTTTAGGACTTTTTATGTTTTTTTGTGGGGTTTTTTTTTTATCCTTTATGCTCTTTATGCAGAGCTTTGTGTTGTTGAGTCTTTATGTTCATTTGACTGACACCCGAAGAACAATTGTTGTTCAAACTAAAGCTCTAGCCTTATGAAGTGAACATTAAACTGACAATGTGAAACATACTGGTGTGGGGGGAATGCTGCTGGGGCTGAGCTGGACCTCGACATTTTTCCCATGCTGGCTGTGGTCCTGCAGACTGATAATAAAATCTCAGCACCAGCAGCCGGCATGTATCTCAGGTCTGAGTCCATTCAGAGTGAGTGGAGCTTAAAAAACTTGCAGTAGCCTGGAATAGTAAAGCAAGCACAGAGAAGACTTCAAGAGTCTTGCCGCTGAGCCGTGAAATGAAAAGTAGCAGCTGATGTAGCAGACCTGGCCGGGGTGGGGGAGGGTATCAGCAGGCAGCCGAGTGTCGAGGGACGGACGAAGGGAGTGAGCTGCCTGTGAACTACAACCAGGAGTGCAGAAAGCTGCAATTCAGCCGGGGGCACAGCAGGTGGTGCTCTGAAACAGTCGAAGATAAACAGGAGCGAATGGAGCTAAAATGATTCTTTCCACCAGACAAAAAAAAAAATTCCAATATTTATTTAATTTCACTTTCAATGTTTAAAAATCTAGCATTGATAATGTGTCTGACGTAAACTGTAGTACAACAAATCCAACATCTACATCATTATGACGTCTTGCTTTTAGCAGCACAAAAACTTTGCGTTAAAGCACAGAGCAAACTTCAGACTGCTTCCTTTTCTTAACTGCCACCACATTCTCCTTTAAAGGCTTGCAGACAGAAACACGTGAACCCACACCAAGTCTAATCTACCTCATCCAGGAGAAAAAATACTGCCCAAACTCT